GCATCTCTGGCAGAGGAAGCCAAAGGGTCTGGCAAGCCCATCGTCGCCCAATCAATGAATCCAGCTCTCGACACCATTCCTTGGTCATGTACCTTTTCCTTAGTGGCCATGGCACTGGCTTCTCCACAGGGAGCAGCCTCTATAGACGCCAACCCTTCTTCCTGAGAAGAAGTAGCGGGCCCCGGCGCGCGCCTACGCGTAAGGCGAGTGGTTTTGGGCCAAACACCTCGGGGGAGCTTCCTTGAAGAAGCGCTCGCACTAATGATTTGGTTCCTAGATTTTTTGGCTACTAGCTTTCAGGATGAGTCGCAATTCTGAAACTGTGCCAGTCTTGTCGACAGTAGCGATTGAAATTTTCGGCGGACTGTGACTATATACTGATATAATATCATATAACTACTATATGGCGGATGCAACCATTGAACAGAATCCTTTCGGGCAGTAATACTGTTCCCCGCAGAGCTATTTTGTTGCATTTAGGCTGGGAAAGGATGCCTTGAAGTGGAAAAGGAGTTCTGTTGGAAGTCCTGGGATGAGATACTTGGTGAGCAGAAGCTCTCAAGCCTGACCAGCAACAGGTTTGTCTATCTTTCAAGCTAAGTGGCAAACAGCGAGTTCGACGCATCCCAAGGACCAGCTTTGTCAAAGATCGAACTGTACGATCAGAGACTTGTCTTCAATCTTTCAACAGCTTTCAACACGAAATGTCTCAAACTCCAAAACAAAGCGCTCTGTCGTGGTTTCTGAGAGGAGCGTGGTCGCTGGCAGTGCCAGTTCTTAGTGGGCATCGAGGCAAAGAACGACTTCGGCGTTGTGGGTCGCTTGCTTGGTCGTGGTGGTGCAAACATGAAGCGAATTGCAGGTGCGCAGGGGAAACTGCAGAAACCTAGATACCTTACATACCAGAATCATCAGGCGACTGTTGCAGAAGCGATGCGATGGTTCTTTCAATCCATGTTGACTGAGTTTGCATCACTATTATTTTGTGTCTCCATGTGCAAAGCATTGCAAAGCCGCTTGCAGGTGACACGAACGCCAAGATGCGGCTTCGAGGCTCGAAGAATGCGTCGAATTTGTAGTGTCACCAATCTCCAAGCACCAACATTGAGAAAAGTGTGAATTCATCATGAACATGCACAAATTATACCAGCATAGACCCCAAACAGTTTCAAAACGATTCGTTTGGACCAATATTAATCAAAAACGATTTACCTTCCCCCCAAGAGCAAAGTGCTTTATCAAAAATTTGTGTCGGCATCGACATCGCTAATTGTTCGGCCACAAGGGAAGATGAGAGGAGGACAAGACCCGGTCACAGAGCCCGGCCACAGAGTTTAGGGGCGCGGCCAGTCAGTGTGGCCAGTTTTTTTCTACGATAGAGCCCCAACAGTAAACTGCTTGGGGAAAAACAAAACCCAAGAATGAGATGCCCGAGAATAAGAAAACGGAAAATGAAAAAGACAGTGCCTAAAGATGTATCAAATGCAACAGGGGCGTGTTCGATTTTGTATGAGTACATTGATCTTTCCTGGCGTAGCAGCTCAGGAGTTTGGATGAAGGCATTCTAGAGAAATCTGGTTCAGAAATCATATTCTGATTCGTTGGGACCTGCGTTGAGGTCGCGGCTCCGGCTTCAAGGAAGCTGATTTGGATGGAAAGGAATCCACAGATCCTTTGATGCTTTGTGCCGTTCGGTTGCACAGCCAGGGCAGCGCGCACTTTTGGACCATCGCACTGCACTCCGTGTCCATGGCAGTTTGAGATCCAGCGATTGGCCTTGGCATTTGCAAAGTGCGTTGCTGTTCATATGTGTTTGCATGTATAAGGTGAGCGCTCCCAGTGAGAAGTCATACAGAGTCTTCTCTGCAAAAAGAACTGAAATTCATGCCTGACGTGAGCGTCCACTGGTGTTGGAAATGTTGCAGTCCTCTTCATTTAATCAAGCAGTCAGGAGAAGCATCTGTCGAGATACACAAGTTGTTGACAGACGTGCCCTGGATGCAAAACTTGGAACACGAAATCAAGAGTTGTTTGAGATTTGGCGTCAGATGGTGGCTGCATCAAGAAAGCACATGAACCACGAATGGCAGAATTACAATCAGCCATTTTTACCGGCGTCGCATGTCCTTCTTTGCCCAGCAGTGTGACCTTCGGGGAGTGCGGGTTTTCTCAGTGAAAGTCTTCTGTGAGAACAGCGGTTCTGGAAGTTTTCACTATTTTTTGTTTTGATTTGTTTTGTTTGTTTTCAAAGCCCATCGAACCGTTCCACAGATTGCCAAGTTCCAGTGTGTTGCTTGAGGTCTACAAAGCTTTTGAGTTTACTGGTGGAACCCCGCCACCTGTGAGGGTTCATGAAGGACCACGCGACTAAGACCGTAGCCATCGGCTGTCTGGATAGAAAAGTCGCCATCATCCACCATACATCTCATGCTGATTTGGAGGTTTTATCACTCTTCGACTTGGCAGGAATTCCCACTACTAATGGTCACACAAGTCTCACGACGTATATAGACGAAGGTCTCCAAGTGCGTTGTCATCATGTTGGCACACATGGTCACTTACCTGCAGCCAATTCAAACGCTGGGACAACTGAGATTCAGCAAGATGCATGAAGACAGAAGTAGTGCAGAGTACTTGCAACTACGAACGATGCAACTTAGTAAAACCAGCTGTCACTGTCAACTATCAGGTAAACATAATTTGCAAATAGGCTCTATCGGTGCGATCTGCAGGGCCATTCGCCGACACGTGGTGCAGTTTGCTCTTAGGTTGTGAGTATTTGGGTTTCAACTCCCGTAGCCCCAGAAAGTTGCATGTTCAACTCGTTCGCAGAAGAGGAAAAGACACCTCCTGTTCAAGCATGCCAGATGGGCGGCCTTGCCGGACACTTCAGGTGCCACTAAAACTGCTCAGTGAGCACAGTTTCGCAAGTCACAGCAATAAGTTTGTTCCCACGGACAGTGCTGCTATTTGTGGTTGCACAGAATACCAAGGACCAGCCACCCTATAGACTTGGGTGCCTTGTTGATGAAAAGCTTTGGCCCATTTCAGGTTACAGTGCTCCAGTTTGCATGCTTGGTGTGCAAGCTTCTCAGAACACCCCGCGTGCATTTAAGCCAAAGCACTCTTCTAGCACAAGGTTGACATTGTCACCAAACTTACCTATGTTGTTCGGTTCGCTTTGCATGTTCCCCATTTGTTTGCACCACGCTAAGGTCAAGTTGCCGGTGAGGCCGTTTCCGACTGTGAGCAAAGATGCTGGTATACCCACTGTACAGTATCCACGTAATGCTGTAAAACTTTGGAGGAATACACCATAAGCATCCCTAAGCAAGAGAATTTGAAAACAACCTATCTATATATGAAGTCAAACGTCCACAAGGAGAGCCTGGAGAATATACTTTTTCAAAGACGCTGATCCACATTGAAGCTTTTGTTGTGCTTGAAGCATGGCAGGTAGCGGTGGACTTTCTGTGGCCTATTCATGTGAGCAAAGTTCCCTTATCGAAATCCAGTGTCAAGGGCTTGGAATGAATCTCAAGTTGAGGTTTGCTCAGATTTGTTTGGACTTTAGGCTGCTTCACTTTGCTATCATGGCTCATGACTTACTGCTGAGGTTGAATCGCTCGAACCAAAAGAGTTCGGAGAGGCTTCTTGCTTTGGTGCAGTACGAGATACTTTAATAAGCCCAAGCCACATCCCCAACAGCTAGAAACATGTTGCACATGCTGAAAAACTATGTCACAAACCATCAAGCTTCATGCTGATGCATTGCCTACCTTTTCCCAACGGGCTCACGTCGTCCAAAGACTTCCAGGAAGCCCACCAACATCACCGCACTCAGTTCTGCGGGACGTCATTTGGTTGCCAAAAAAGTAAGTACAAACAATGTCGCAAAAGTGCGGGTATGGTTCGAGTGGTTTACCATGCTCCGGAACCTCCTCCAGTGCTCCAGAACGGAACCTCCTTCGCTCCTGAATTTGGACCTCCTCCGGACCCTGCTCCGGAACCTCCTCCAGAACCTGCTCCGGAACCTCCTCCAGAACCTGCTCCAGAACCTCCTGAGGAACCTGCCCCGAAAGCTTCGCTGTTGGGGATAAATCTTCAAAAGCGATCGTAGGGGTGAGGCTTTTGCATTGAGACATGAAGGCTTGAGCTTGTGACAGCACATAACTCATCATAACATATCGTAACTCCAACTGCCCCGGACGACCCCAACGCTTTTGACTCCGTGCGTCACTTTGTTTGGACCGAAGCAAGGTGCTGGCCAAACTGGCCCTCCAGGGTTTTGAGGCACCTTCCAGAGAGCAGAAAACGCTAAAGCCACATTGTGATATCTTCCTTTGCTGCTACTTTTGTATTACTTTGTGTTCTGTCACTTTTTTGTTTGCTTCATTGCTCCCTTCGCAGGACTATGTCAACAAGACATTACCCGTCGAGCTTGAGGCTCTTTGCTCCAACTGGCCCAGCCATTCTATTGAAGTCATTGCCGTGTATTTGTGTGGCTTCACTGCGAATTGAAGATTACCACGCAGACAAGAATTGAGATGTGGGTGTTGTGCCAAACGTTGGAGTGACACTGCTGGAGTCTTCGCCAGCTTGACAAACAATTTGCCGATGAGTTCCACACGGCGGACCACTCAAGAGTCAACCTAGCGTTTCGTCGTGAAGGGCTCAGAGACTCAGAGATGCTAAGGGTATGTTTGCATATGTTTGCTAACTTGTGCACAAATCGAGAGCCTGCACACACACTCGAGATATGGCGTACTGAAATGGAATGCCGTACGCCGGCCTGAATTTGAAAGAACTAAGAGGTCAGGTCGAACAAAGAAGGTTGGAGGCCATCAAAATGAGGTTAGGCCATCGCATCAAGGAGGGAGGTCATCGCTACAGGCCATCACTAGTAGGTTGGTTACATCCAGGAACGACAGCAGATTGAACTCACATCACAGCTAGATTATAAAAGAGCTGTATATAGGTTGGAGGCCATCACAAGTAGATGGGGGGCCAGCGCAACAGGTTAGAGGCCAACGATATTGAGTGGGGTATATACAAACTCACAGCGCAAGCAAGTGCATATTGCCATGCTTTCCTTTCTGTTATACAGACTCACAGCGCACATATTGCCATTCTTTCCGTTCTGTCATACAGACACAGCGCAAGCGCTTGCATATTGCCATTCTTTCCATTCTTTGATGGACAAGCACCCGATACAGTTGGTAGAAGTACACGGTGAGCGAGGTATGGGAATCGTTCAAGATATATAGGTGAGAAAAGGACATCAAGAATTACGAATCGCTCCATTAGAGTAAAATCTGCCGACGAACTCTGCCTCCTGTTTGCGATTGAGACATGAGAATCGCAGGCACGTCCAGCTGGGCAAGCTAGATATCCCACTTCGTTGGACACAGTCCCAATCAAATGCTGTGTCCCCCTGCAACCTTAATGACCGAAAGGTCCCCTGCGACTCCAAGGGTTCCCCACACACGCCTCAAAAGGGGAGGGATGCGTGGCCTCCAACCTGCTCGGAACGCGCAGCCTAAGTAAAAGACCTAAGGGACCACTGTGAGTGTTTGAGCGTGACATCATCAAGGTTGCAAGTCTTGAAGTCTCAAAACCTTCATGCAGAGTCTGCCGACCTCCAAAGGCGAAGATATGAAGGAGACAAAACAAGACAAGTGTGTGTGCGTGTGTGTGGTTGCAAGGAAGGGGAAGACAAATGAACAGGGACAACCAGTGAACCCAACCTTCTTATCAAGACCTGGGCGAATCTGTGCGCGAAGGGCCGGACTGATGTGCGCGCACAAGAAGGAAGGGAATGAGATGACGGGACGCGAAGGGGGGCAAGACGTGAGACGAAAAAGGACAGAAAGTGTGTGCGTGGGTAAATGAGAAAAAGATAAGAGAGTGGCAGGCTGTGGGAGTGCAGTTTTTTAGAAGATTGAATGTAATTGAACATATGTGTATACTAGTGTTGTGGCTCATCAGCGTCTAGTGTTAAGTTGCTTTTGAGCCTGGCCTCTTGTGATGGCAGAGCTAGAAGGTGAGAGTTTGGCAAGACAATTGGGTGTGAGAAGGGTCCCTTTACTGCAAAAGCTCAAATTTTCTTTAGACTAAGGTATAGTAAAGCTTTGGCATAACCACTATATAGGGTCAAATCTCATATTTCTTAGAAATTAATTTTGATTGTGATTGTGAAAATTTGATTCTTGGTCAAGTCTAATTTAATTCCAGAGAGCAGGTGTTGCTGGGGGCGTGAGTTTCAGACACAATGATATAAACTCATGTGTTTTACAGTGTTTTATTGCCCTGGGAGTGCTGGGAACTAGGTCAAAACATTGCCTTTTAGGTAGACAGATAGACTTGTTAAGGTAATATGTTGAATAATCAGTTCTATATTAAGAAAGCTTTGTATAAAAATTTCTATGTCAAAGGTTTTCCGTTTAGATCTTTGGAATGATCCCTTCTATACCAGAATATGTTAAAGCTGCTAATTCAAGCGTTTTCCTCTTCGTCTCTGGATTTTCTAGATTTTTTACAGTACATTTAAAAACATGTATATAGGCAATTATTTCAAAGCTTACCTTTTCTATATTTAAAACTGCCTTCTACATTGTAAGTGGTGTTTCCAAAAGCTGTTCCCTAGATTTCTGGGATTGATCACTTCTATATTCAAGACTAATATCCAAGGGCGCATTTCAGCTGTCTCCCAGATCTTTGGGCATGATGATTTGTTTAAAGATTATATATACAAGCTGTGTATTTCACAAGAAAGGATCTGTGAATAAATCTTTCTATCTTTCAAAAGTTTTTATAAACATATAGAAAATAAATGTGCTTTGCGCAAACTTACCTCCAGATCTCTGGGATTGATCACTTCTATATTGAAAAGCTTTGTTAGAAAGCTTTCATTTTTATAGTTTTCCTCTGGACCTCTGGGAAAGTAGATTTTCAAGAGGTGTGCGTTTTCTTTAATTTTATGCAATATATATATTTATTTATTTATCTGCCACTTGAAAAATCAACCCTTTTATGGAACACATAAATACAAGCCCCATGGGACAAAGCCAAAAACACTTTGAGAAAACACAAAAATGTATATTTATGAGAGTCTTGACCAAACCCTCCCACCCAGAGGACAAACTTCTGACAACATGTTTTTTGTGTGTTTTAGCGCGTTTTCTTCAAGAAGCGCTCACAAAGTGCAGAATCTTCTGCAGAGTGCACTCCTGGCAATGTAGCTTTTGTTAACAGAGTGCCCTCCTCGCAGTGTAGTTGTCTTGACAAATCTTAACAGGGTGCCCTCCTGGCAGTGCAGTTCTCTTGACAATGTTGACTCAAAAGAACACACATTTGCGAGGAAACTCAACATTTGTCAAGAAAGCTGCACTACCAGGAGGGCACTTTGTGGACAATTTTGGACCCTGTGGACAAACACCAAAAGAACAAAAAATACACAAAAAAACAAAAAATATTCAGAGAGTCTTGGCTGGGACCCCCCCCTTCCAGAGAGTCTGGGAATATGTAGTTTTTTAGATTTTTTGTTTTATATAATTTTTTTTGAAAGTTTTTGGCCTCCCTCGTTCCAAGAGTCTGCAAATATTACCTTGTCTGCTACCAGCCCAAATGATCATGCATATGGGAGTGCAGTTTACGTAGTAAAATCTAGGCCTATTGCGAATGACAATCTTCTAAAAAACTGCACTCCCAGGGGCTGCCGTTCTGAAAGATAAAGGGGAAACCAAATCGAGTGGCCAAAAAACAACGAAACCAAACCTCATTAAAGCAGGGTCTTGAGTGCACACGCTGTATGTGCACTTAAAATCCCGACAGACCCCAATGGGCCTGGAGAGTGCTACGGCTGCTGTGGCCTACTCTTGCCATGCCAAAATGGCGGGCTGCTTTTGTCCGCTATGGACTACTCATGGCGTCCCAAAGGCTGCCTGCTCAAGTTCAAACACAGTCGTCAAATCTCAACTCACCTCTGCCATAAGGCGCATAGGATCAACTGCCAAGGAGGTCCAAGATGTTGTCACGAGTTCCAAGGGGTCCTTCTCTGGTCCCGAACGCAGGGACATAAGCGAACCCTTGCTCAGCAAGGCCACGGAGGGCGCTCTGCGGGCTCACTCCGGGGCTCCCGGAGACACACTCGGGAAATTGCGTACAGAAACGGCTTGCGGTTTGCCACACGCCAGCCCAAGTTTAAAAAACTTAAGGGACCAGGGGGGTCTGAAACACATGGAAACCTATCCTGAAACAGTTCAGCGCCTGTTAATTTAAGATACCTTCGAACATTTGATCTGTATCTTTAGCAAATAAATGATGAACAATGATCTATTTGTAGCAGGGCGCCAAGTCTGGACGTGAGTGCTGTTTGGGGATGACAAGTCAACCGTAGAAATTATACAAGCATAGACCCCAAACAGCTTCAAAACGATTCGTTTAGACCAATATCAGTCAAAAATCGATTTCTTGGTACTTTCACCCCAAGAGGGCATTGACATCGCTATTTGTTCGGCCACACTCCTCTCCAGTAAGCCGGGCCACAGAGACCAGCCACAGAGTTCAGGGGCGCGGCCAAGACAAGGACAAGAGGAGGACAAGACCCGGACACAGAGCCCAGCCACAGAGTTCACGCGCGGCCAAAACAAGGACAAGAGGACGACAAGAAGAGGACAAGGCCCCGCCACAGAGCCCAGCACAAAGGACAAGAGGAGGACGAGCGCGCCGTCCATAGCGCGCGCTCGCCCTGCTCTCTTTCCTTCTCTCTCTCTCTCTCTCTCTCTCTCTCTCTCTTTCTCTTTAAGTTTCTCTGCAGAGCGCGCGCGAGCGCGCCGTCCATAGCACGCGCGCGCGCGCTCTGTTTCCTTCTCTCTCTCTCTCTCTCT